GGTACTGAGCTTGAGCCACCCTGTCTGGCTTTAATCTCCTTTCTAAAGACCCTGCTTCAGCCCCAGCCACAGTCTGAAGGACAAGGGCTTCAGTGCATAAACTGGGGACACAATGCAGTCCCTAACATAGAGGCTTTTATTTCCTGTGAAAATTAATTCCCAATTCCCTTGGAGGACTAATATTTAAAACATAAAGATTTCAAGCCAGGCCATTTTGTGAAGAGACAGAGGCTGAGTAGTCGCTGCCGCGTTGCTGACCTTGAGCAGCAGTCAACTCCACGTAGAACCTGGGAGCAGGAGATTTGGAGTCGAATCTCTTCTCTCATCTCTCCCCTGTGAGATTTTTTTGATCTTCAGCTACAGTTTTTGTCAGCCTGCAACTTTATCTTCAAACACGATGGCTAGCAATGTTACCAGCAAGACAGATCCTCGCTCCATGAATTCCCGTGACTCACTGGGAATCTGAACACGCTTGTGGTGAAGAAATCTGATGGGGAGGCCATCTTCTCGAAGCATGGCAAAATTGTGGGTTGCTCCCTTCATAAGGGCTTTGCCTTTGTCCAGTATATGCTAATGAGAGAAATACCCGGGCTGCTGTAGCTGGAGAGGATGGCAGAATGATTGCTGGCCAGGTTTTGGATAGTAATCTGACTGCAGAGCCAAAAGTGAACAGAGGAAAAGCAGGCGTGGGAAAATCTCCAGTGGGCCTACCTGGCAAGCACAAAGTCCTGAGTTTGATCCCCGGTACCAAAAAAAAAAAAAATGATTTCCAGTGGAGATGTATGGCTCCTCTTTTGACTTGGACTATGACTTTCAACGTGATTATTATGACAGGATGGACAGTCACCCAGCACATGTTCCTCCTCCTCCTATTGCTTGGGCTGTAGTGCCCTCGAAACGCCAGTGTGTAGCAGGAAACACCTCCTGAAGAGGCAAAAGTGGCTTCGGTTCTAAGAGTGGCCAGCGGGGCTCTTCATCCAAGTCTGGAAAGTTGAAAGGTGATGGCGCTCAGGCCATTAAGAAGGAGCTGACCCAGATCAAACAAAAAGGGGATTCTTTACTGGAAAGCCTGGAGGAAACTGAAAAGGAGCAGAGCAAACAAGCGGTGGAGATGAATGGTAAGACCGAAGAGGAGCAGACCAGCACCTCCCAAAGAAAGATGAGACTAATGTGAAGATGGAGTCTGAGGGTGCTGCGGACGACTCTGCGGAGGAGGGGGAGCTACTGGACGGTGATGAAAATGAAGATCGGGCGGAGGATCAGGTAAAAATGCTGGAGTTGGGCTGGTGAGATGGCTCAGTGGTCTAAAGCACCTACTT